ATTATCAAGGAGTTTAAATCCCTGATTTGCCTTTTTTGACTTTCAGGCCAATATATACCTATAACTCTTATGGGTTCGTTTAATCCGAACACATCTACTACTACTGTATTTTCAAACTTACTTTCTATTACTGTCGCCTTAAGATGTCTGCCTACTGCAATGGTGACTCCTCCACGAGGATTATTCCCTTTTTTGTAAAAAAAATTGAAATCTGGGATGCGAAAGGAGTTCCAGAGTTCGCTCACCTCTGTAAAGATTCCGAAAGAGGCGTCAAACTTGTGAATCAGATCCAAAGCTTCGAACTAGAAGACATAATGTGCTTCTTACAATGACTAACCAAACTCATATCGAGTCTTCAACAATACATGAATGAGATAAATTGAAAAGTTTGTCTTGAGTAACACAGTTTTGATACCGCTTTTACAAAATGACATATAGTTCGATTAAGAAATAAAAGGTATAGACAAACAGGAGGAAATAAAGGTGATAGTTTCTGAAACAATACTACATGACATTCTTCGTGAGCGCATTTAAATTTGCTCTGACATGTTTTATCAAGGAGAAAATGGTATATCTAAAAATTCTTTTAAACTCGCAAAAACCGATGAAGACCGATCGGTCTAACTGTTTCAACCGGTCGGTTTGCCCACACCGGTTACAACTCTGGTAGAGGGTGTTATATATAGTAAAAACTGCTGAATTTTGCTTCTTATCACTGAACACCCTATTTTACGTTAGTTTTTCTCTGTTAAAACTTTGGTATACGTTGCAATACAAACACAAAAACAGATTTTTTTAGATTTCACAGGATAAAATCTCTTTTTGCAGCGACATGGAAACGAGTGTCATGAAGCAGCTTGTTGAGAGTGCTATTCAGTGTACTAGTTGTATGCGATCGATAAATGATGAGATACTTTATCGATGTGTGGAATGCAATGATAATAGGATATATTGTGAAGAATGTGGTCAATTTGTTCATCAACGGCAACAGCGGCACCATGGATATTCTGGAATAAACATTAGACAGGTGCAACGAATCAATGAGACCCAATTGCAATCAGATCAAAATCAGGGCGAAAGATATTTACATTATTTGATATCTCAATATCATATAGCAACAGACACGGCTCGTATAAATATTATGAAAAGAGCTTCAGGTTTTATCGTGGCCATAAAAAGTGGGGAAGGAGCAGCAAAAGCTATCGCTGTAAATGCAGTAGATCTGGTAGTCGACTTAGATCATGGGGTCAAGAATCTTTCAGTGAATGCAGCTCACATGGCATCCAGTATGAATAATATTGCATCAGCTATGGCTCCTGTGGCTACATCTGCTGGAATTGCTGCAGGTATAGTTACCGGATTAGAATTATGCTATATCACATACAAATTCTTTATCGGTGACATTTCGGACTGGGCCGCTTACGGACGCCTAGTAACTCGTAGTATTGCTACGGGTGTTACTTCTGTTGTTGGAAATTGTTGTGGATATCTTGCTGGAGCTCTAGTTGGTGGAGGCATAGGAATGGTTGCAGGACCAGGAGGAGCAGCAGCTGGAGCATTCATTGGTGCAGTCATAGGAAGTATTTTCGGTAGTATCGTTCGTGGTGCATCTGCTGCATACGCATTCGATAAATGTTGGCCAGACAACGAACAAAAGTCTCGTAAAAAATTGGTTAACGAAGCATTAATGCAGTATGGTTACACAGAAAACGATGTTAAAATACCGCTTACACAATGCTCAAAAAGCCCGCAAAGGTCATCTTCTGTTTTTTGTGATTGTGATGACGAATAGAAGCCTATCTAAATACGAGGAAAAATTTGATGGATTTTATTGCTGTTTTGGTGAAGGATTATAATGATTTTTCTCATTACAAACCAATGGGTTTCGGCTACGCTAGGTATAACTAATATGAATTCTTACGCATTCATTCCAACTCACTGACTTTTTCGCCAAAATCATTGCCTTGATGTCCTATATCGACACCGCGGAAACAGTTTTGAACATTTTAATCCTGGATGAGTATAGTTTTTCAAAAACCGTGATTTTTTGAGGTTTTCGAGGGTTTTTACAATTTGTTCCACATAGAATCCGCTTTTAATAAAAACTAATTAGATATTCGGAATCCGCATGAAAATCTGCATCGAATGATGTGTAAGTTCATTACTTTTCGCAACAAATTATTTTTCTTGGAAATCTATGGCCAAGATCAACTTGAAACTTTTTGCCAGACAACTTTATCTCTTGTTTGGTCTCGAATTTTCCGTTTCGCATTATCGTAGCAGTGCTAAAACGCTATTTCTTGTAAAACTAAATGATTTTAAACGCAAAAATAAAGATTTTCGCCTGTTCTACGAAGTACTGCTTTAAGGGCTGAAGCCTGAGAAAAAACGTTAAAAGTTATTTTCCTGCAAAGCAGTTAAAAAGCATGTCACCAGACGCAGATTTTGACGCTGATTCCGAATATGACCTTATTTTCAAGCAAAAGTACTTTCTCAAGGGAGAAAGCTGCGAAATACTCCAAAATCCTTAGGGTTTTTGGAAAGCCTGGAACGAAGCACCCTTACCGAACTGCGCTTAGCTGCGACCAGTATATGTGGAGGAGGTGTAGACGAACATTTTGAGCTATTTTTCATGTTGATATCTAGTGCGCGGAGTTGCGCGCGTGCATTTTTATGAGGTCACCTTTTTTTTAAACAGGTTTTCTAGAAAGATGTTTGAGCCTGAACAGAAATTTAACTTGTTCTTCCAAAACTTTTTTACGTTTAGAAAGTCCAACACCTGACGATTCCATGTCAGTGTTTGTTTTTCAAAAAAAATTCAAATTTGATGGAGAAAATGCAATTTTAAATACCAACACGACTATTCCGCTAGATTTTTTAACTTGGTTTTCTCCACTTTGGAAGCAGCTAGAACAAAAATTTTTTCACTGTTAAATAGGGTATTGTTTACACTATATATACCGCTATTCAAAACAGAAAATTGGTCTCGTAAAAAATTGGTTAACGAAGCATTAATGCAGTATGGTTACACAGAAAACGATGTTAAAAATGATGCAGTATTTAATGAAAATTTGATTAAAGCTAAGTACAAAATGCTCTGTTTAATACATCATCCTGATCGAGAAACAGGTAACACACAAGCTTTTCAGCAACTATCAATACATCATGGTATTGTGTGGTCACTTTTACATAGCTCAACAAATACGAAAGACGATGCTATAAAAATCATGATTGAAGCTGGCGTATAGATAAAATCAGAAATTTATTTGTTCATTTTATTTGATAACGATTATACAGAATATAAATAAGATCGGTGCAGCTGGATTTATTATGAACTCTGACAATATCTTGTTAATACCACATATTTTCTTTCACATGCACGAACGTGACATTGTAAATCTAAGTTGTCATACCTCTCTGTCCTTCTCCTTTTCATTTTGTGCAAGTTCCGAAATGTTTCCTAACGCTTTTTCTTCAATTGTCACATCATATAGTACAATATTTTCATAGTTTTGAAGGTGTGGATATGGGTAAGATCATTTTATGTTAAGGATAATATCCCTAATTCAATTCGATTCAGTGTATTCTGGCAAAGCCATGGACACATGGAAAAACATTGTTAGTGCAAAAGTTTATAACAAAAGAATCTGCGTTTGACTAAAATCTAAACAGAAAACTTTGTCGACTAGCCCACATAGTAAGCAGAGGCAGAACAAACAGAATGGTAAAGAAGTAGGCATGCAACGGTTACGGTTATTAACTATTAACCGCAACGGGTCATAACCGTAACTGTAAATACCCGTTCGAACGGTTAACCGTAAGCGTAAGTATAAACGGTTTATAACAACACGGTGAAAAAATAACCGTCAAAAAAACCGTAAAAACCATAACCATCGAAAGAAAACCGTATAGAAGAACCATGAATTAAAAAATTACAGTATGAAAACCGTAAAATGCAAAAGTATAAAACAAAAACTATGGAAGTAAAACCGTAAAGGTTAAAACCATAGAAACAAAACCGTCCACTTTCGAACCATCGAAGGAAAACCCTAAAATAAAA